CTTTCTTTTGATTATAATATTATTAAAATCGCTTAACTTTCTTATAGAAATTTTCCAACTTTTTAAACATCTATGTGCAAATGAGTAATACTAATAATAAGAAATTAAGCCAGCGCATATGTATGTATGTAAAAATATATTTATTAATGTTAATTACAAGTTTTATTCATAATATTGGTTACTAAGTATGTATATTATGCATTTTGAAAATAAGTTTTGCAAAATAAAAATCAAAACATTTTAGGATTTTTTATTTTGAATTCGCTGTGAAGAGAATGCAACCCTGAGCCGGCAGAAGGGGGCAATGCTAGACGAGTGTAGCTATATGTTTTCCTTACGAAGTATCTGAATGAGTGCGACAGTGATGCAAGGCTCACACGTACAAGGGGAAAGTGGTGAAAATCTGCACACCGCCCATACAAATGTCACCAGTTTTGAAGTGACCGAAACCCGCGGTTTCACCAGATTTTTCACCACTTTTGGCTGGCAGGGATGACTTCCGGCATGACCAGTGTTGCCAGGTTTTCGGCATGAGAAAACGTCCCTCCTGGTCTGAAAAAACGTCATTTTCTACCCAAAAACGTCTTTTCCATGTATGCACACAGAATTGTTCTTATTAAACTTTTGTTGTATACAAACTTACATATGTACGTAAGGTAAATTAAAATGTCATTTCGACGGAGCACATTTAAAATTCATTAGTGGTATTCACCAAAGTGAGCAAGTGGCCTGGCACTCTGGCAAAACAGCAGATGAGCTCAAGCAAGGACTGTTGACAACAATTTGGTGAATACCACTATTGGAAACTGGTTTGAGATCGTTAATATAAAAATCATTTTATACATACACTTGTGATCAGCTGATTAAGTCATCAACATTTTGATAGATTTTGGCTGTTTTTCTTTTGTTTATTTAATGTTTATTATTTTTTCATAAAAGTCTAGCTCATTATATAACTAACACAACATAAATCCACATTCAAACTTTGTGCAAAAATTATAAAAAATCTGCAAAGTTTCAGCTAGATTTCCAAGTTTTTATTCAGATTTTATAGATTTTTTTTGTGAGTATACAGTTTGATAGCCCATTAAATTCCAGGGTAATAATGTGCAAGTTTTAAGTTGCTAAAGAATCGCGTGGATTTTTTATATATTTTTTTTCTTGTAGACATTTTGTTAGGTGGTCGGTTGTCGAAAATGCTAGACTACGTTATGCTAAGAAGGAACATAGTGCTTTTGAGAGCATGCGTGTTGCAATAGATTAGCTCTTCCTGATTTGGCTTTTAATATGCAATTGCAAACATTGTAATAAGCCTTGTAACCTCAAGTGTTTACACAATCAGCCTTTGAACGCGGGATCCTTAGTCCAAGAATAAAAAAAAGCGCGTACGCTTGGTTTGCATCATATTTAAGTCATATGTGTCCAAAGAATAAATATCTTTGAGGCACCAGCTGCAAAAAACAAAGCTTGTAAAGATTTATTAAGAAAATAATTCAAAATCAGTTCTACTTACAAGATTTAGTAACAAATTTGCCGTAACTGTGAGCGTAAGTACGTACTCTACAAGCAAATAGTACGCTATACATTGAATACATTTAGGGAGTTCACAAGGTGTCGTACTGTCGTACTGTTGTATGCCATACGCTTTAAACCGCTAAAACTATATTTAAGGAATTCGCAAGCCAACATAAAAGTTTTATTATTAAATTTTACTCCGTTAAAAAATAGTTGGTGGTGATTTCAAGTCCTCTAAAAATTTATTTAGCCGTTAAAAACTTTAACGAAATACGACAATACGACACGTACGACACCTTCTGAACCACCCAATTGTACATAGAGAAAAATTACTGGGAAGTTAAAAAACGTCCAAACGTCAACAGGATACAACAAACGTCCAAATGACGTTAAAAACGTCAACCTGGCAACGCTGGGCATGACTCTGAATGATTTAACAGTGTGCAGTCGAAGGCGAGTCAACACGTACACAAATGACTCGCGAGTCAGAGGTACCTCGTATGCCACCTATTACATATATTCGTTCGAATAATTTCAAATGGGGCTCTTAGGGGAATTTATTTTTAGCAAAAATTTTAAAAACAGTAGTTTTGTTTACTTGTTGGATAATTTATTTTCATAGGGATATATGTACATTGGATCCTTGGCTAAAATCTTCTATGGTAAAACTGTCCTTTCTTTGCTATTTAAAGTCAATGAGTAAGCTCCTTCAATAGGGATTCCAGTAGAAATGATCAACGTCTAGCTATAGAGAGAATCGATGCTCAAATAATTAAAAAGTTATAGGTCTGACCTTTAATTAGATAAGAATTACGTAACTATCTGTTATTCAAACGCTTATAAAAAAACGGGGAGCTTTAAAAAAAAATAACAATATTCTGATCCGATTCGGCTGGCAGCCATGACTTTGAAAACAGAATGTTGTTCAAAAATAATAATCTATTTTCCATATCCGCCTATTTAGCTCGCTATAAGCACACATTTTTCAAAGCAGTCGCAGAAGAAAGTATTATGCCCTGTATGCAGCTCTCAAGAAAACGGTCAAGAAAAATTTGCCATTATTTCGTGTGTGTGTCCAAGGAATTTTGACATTTTTGATACTTCACAGCCTGTTGCCTCACTCTTTCCTCAAGAAATAATGGAACGGGC